TCAAATAAAATAGCCATATTAAACATGCTGTCTTGTATGATATCACTTTCCATTGTGTCTTGTATGATTCGACTGTTAAGTAAACTGGAAGTTTATGGCATCAAAAGTGGAAATCTGCGCTGTTTCAAATCTTTCCTCGGCTACAAAACTTTTAGAGTATAAACCCAGTCTCGATGTTTCTTTCCTCGATGTCGGTAGGAATTCCAAGAGATTTCTGAAAGTCCCCCATTATTTCTGATGTATATCAATGACCTCCTTGACCTTACATCTAGCAAAGCTCATACTTTTGCTGACGACATAAGAGGCTGGAATGCTAGTGATCTCAGTGTACTACGAACCGTGATGGGCAGATGACTGGAGTTTTCCTATTGTAGACAGCAAATGTGTACTTATGTCATTCGGAGGAAACTCTGAGAACCCATTCATGATACGCTATGTGCAGGGTGCGGTAGATATCTTGAAAGTTGGGTTAAAAGAATAAACACTTCTGTTAGCAATAAATAGACACTGAAAAGAGATTTGGAAGTCTTGGGATGATTAAAGAGTTTTTCTAGCACAAATAGACACGCTTTTTACATACTTTACGGGGTTTTTATAAAACCAATACTTGAGTATGCCAGTCAATGTGTGTACGCTAACCTGAGCAAAGATATATTAGCTACTAAGTGTGTCCAGCGAACAGCCATTAAAGTGGTCACTGATCTGAGACACTTCTCTTATGAGTCTTGTTTTGGAATTCCTAATCTCCGACCAATTAAGTTTTGAAAATTCATCAGCGACTTAACATTCGAAAAGGTCACAACAAGAAGTTCTACAAGCTCTAACATCTGAACTTCCTCAGAAAGCAATTCTTTTCTTACGAGGTTTTCCATCGCCGAAACAACTTCCTGTCTGCGATCATTGGCTGTTTTTCTAGAAACCACTTTTGAGTGCTATTAAATCCCCACTTACGCACAGCAGTATCTGATTCATAATTCCACTTTGTTTTTAGTACTTTCCGTAATCTCAAACGGTGATGCTACACCATGTTTTCAATGACAGCCAGCTGAATATCGAAATAGACAAACCAACTGAATCCCGATGATTTTCCTGTCAAGCCTCAAACCAGTGTACAAATAGCCAAGTCTCTGGAACCGAATAAGGTAACTACTGTGTACAAGGTGTTTCAAGAATCGTGACATCTTTGGCGGAGTTGATGCTTTTAAGTGCAGTTTACAATAAAAAAGACATCTTGTTCCCAGGTTATGAGAATCGACATACCTCTCACGGAGACCATAACGAGAATCTGTAACAATACAGAAACTGTTACGCATGCAATTTAAACTTTCCGCTAATGTCCTCCCTCTTGTTGTCTATTTCAGGTCGCCCACCAACGTATTATTTGACGTGTTCCATCCGAAATGAACGTCCCTAGAACTGTGACATTCGATTCCCCCTGGACTGACTTGTTTGAACGATCTAAAAAAACCTTTGTTGTTGGGACTTTGGTTTTCGTGTCGCCGTTGGTGTTGTGTTGATCGCCGCCTCGTCTCTGTTTCACTAATACACCGGTTGTGATTGTTCTTTAAGTCTTTTCTCTGGTTTTGGATTGCGTCGGGCCCGTCTGTGATCACTGTCCTATGTGTACATTTGTCGTCCTGTTACAAATCCATAGGTTTACAGGGTTGTGTCTACTGTAACGTGTAAAAATATCACCTGTCACTAGATGCAGTGTTAGTGACGTGAAGAGAACAAACCCTAACTAACTGTCTCTATCCAAGTCTGTGGGAAACGCAATTTCAGATGAGACCCAGTTGCGAAAACTCTGGACTTTGGCCGGATTCGAACCAGCGACAGAAACAGCATGCCTAAACGCAAAAAATGATCTACCAACTGATCTACAAAGCCACGCTGGGAGATCGGAATTTTTAAACTTGGACTCGGTAACCCCCAAACTCACTGTCCATGGATTGATTGCTCAATCAGGAATTTCTTAGTTGCCCACTTAAACATTCGAGTATCTGGCTATTACAACAATATTCGTACGCCGCGTAAAGTGTAGGAGGTTGGTGAGCTGGTAATGTGAATCGTTTTTGACTGCTTCTGGACTGCAGTCTGTGGAGACATATGCGGCAAAAGAAGATAGACGGCGTATGTGATAGGCGCCTCTGGATACTATAACCATACCTTCATATCGGACTGTGAAAAGGTGTCTGTTGCCCAGAATCCATTCAAGCGGCGCCTTTCCTGTGTAGATGTTTAAGGCAATTTTAACACTGGCTTGGCCAGTGACCTGATCCGCAGGGACTTCGGAAAATCGCATATTGTACACGCATAGTGAAGCGATTGACGGATATTGAAGTTGTAGCGCAAAGCTGGAATCTTGAAGTTGTGTTTCAACAAAACAGCAGATATCTATGTTAACGGTCTCTAAAGTAGGCGCAAGAGCTGCCTGCTGAATTGTTTTCGTAAGTGCTCCAACTTTAAAGTTGAAAAGTCTAAACGGTGGTCGAACAGCGAGTAGGGGATTATGTCCTTCAGGCAAACGAACCTTCGTGTCTGACGCTAGATCATTCCGTTTTTTATCGCTAGCGGCCAATGAAGCAAGTCTTTGATGTATGTTCAAAAACATGATTAGGGGTCATCAAGCAAAAAGTTATTCGACAAAACAGATGAAAATGAGACAAATTGGAGTGGTGCGGTAAAATTTAACGTGGAAGAAATGTCGTCAGTTTGAGTTTATAACTTATGGGGCGGAATACTTCTCGGTTGCCAAACGCGAAGAAGCGAGTTAGCTTGGGGAACCCCACCCAGGGCCTTTGATTCAAAACGCAACTAACTCACAAGACAGCGGGGCAATGCACGTAGTTAGCTGTTCGTTAATGGCCATTGATCAATAGTGGTTCGGTTCATACACCTTTCGGATGAAATTCATCTAAGCAGGATGCTCGCATACACCCTACAGGAGATTGTGACAGAAGCAGCGCAGCAGTTCGAGGATTCACCAACGAAGGCGGATCTGTTGTAGCTGATCTGTACATTCAAGGATTACAAGATCAATAGGGCTGCTGAGATGCATGCCTTTTGTTGCTGGGGTCAAGTGACCAAATTGATTTATATGCCATTTGAATGGGGTCACACCGTTCAAGGTACTAGATATATCTTGCGTACCCGTCGGATCAGGTGATTACCGAGCTGATTCGTACGCTTTCCTCTGAGTTTGGTCATGGTTGACGGAGACTGAAGATGTCAGTACGTTATACGAACAGCGTGTCAGACGGAGGGCATGCTGTCTGGGAGCCCATGTGCTGTCGTAAGTGCAACTGAAACCCCCCTTTGTAGTGGGGTAACATACGCCATGTCGTGGTACCGTCAAAGAAGTTATGTGGCATTTCGTAGGAGACCTGGCTGCCAGCCATGAGTCTACCACGCTCTGGTAGCACAACTGCTTATCGTCCGCGACTGCTTACTTGCCGAAAGAACCTCACTTATTTCGCAGTTAGCCCCAACATGGAATGCCGTAAACTAGTCCGCAGCCTGGGGATGTGCCAGGTGACGCTGACCTAGTCCACCCGTTTACCCAGGTACCGGGCACTAGGGAAGTGCAATCTCCAACAGAAGAGATTCCGCAAAATGAAACAAAGGGTGTAGGTACGTGCGTGATTTAGGAGATTTGGTCAATCATAACTGTGATGTAATTGGTCAACAAACTGCCATGAAAGAGTGTGTTACACTGTTATAAACATATAACAAACCGTATCAAGACAAGTCGTACGGAACAAACCAGTTCAGTATGATTTTAAAGTAAAGAAGGGGCAATACATCTTGTAACAAACATGAGAACGAAGGAGATGGGTGAACTCGGATAGTATTATCATTGCCGAGGTCTTCGTTGGCTGGTTATGGTCTGGAAACTATTAGTTCATTTGAAGTGTTTCAGGGGATAACAAGTGTATTTTATCGTAAGTTCAATAAACGCTGTCGTGTCGTGATCATCAGTGATGTGTGATTATAGAAATACAGTGGGTCAGTAAGTATGGAAAGAAACAACCTCAAAAAACTCCATAGAACTAAAATATAACCCAAAGAAACCGTAACCATAATGTGTAGGATGTCGCGGTGATATGAGCACAGACAATCAAAGAATGTGTGGTGCGCAACATTTGTTTAAAAACATGACAAACCAAAGTTTATCGAACTGTTAAAGTGTGGTTTTCAGAAAAGCTTAAAAATTGGCTCAAACCAGACAGCCATTTTCCTTTAACCACTTAATAGAAAACGTTAAGAAAATCTACTGCGATTTGTCAACTGTTCGTTCACTGTCATCAGCTGTTGTATAGGGCAGACAATTAGAGACAGAGTGAAGGTTGGTATGGGTTTGTAATATCAATTACTATATTATCAGCACCACAGAAACTGGATTGGTTGCTTCAAGTATTGTTTAGCACCCAACGCCGATTGGTGAGTTTGGAGATACGAAGCTTAGTTAGAGGTCAATAAATCCGGGTTCTGATGGGGTGACAGTGTGGTGAGTGAACTATTTAGATCAATTTGATGACTTACTGTCATCCAATATCTAGCGATCGCTCAACTACGACATCGGACAGTTTGTTCACCAAGTTAAAACCGTTGCATAATTAGTTGTTTCTACCGTTTATTGGTGTGTTTGGTCAATCGCTCTGTGAGCTGCCAATGTATCAATCTGCGCTGCTTTGTAAGTGTCAATGTAGTCGCTACTGGATTGTTGTACACTGTGCGAGATATAACAGTTAAGAGAACTGAGTTCATGATCACGTTCAACTAGTCTTTCACTCATCTGAACTAACTGCAAAGGTGCAGCTGCATACGTTTTAACAAACACTAATTTGTGAGACTGTCGGTCAGATGATCCCCACTTAACTGGACGAGAAAGAAATACACTATTCTTTCCGAACTTTTTTGTTGGCTCATTATCTTTGTTCGTCTTGTTATAAATCCCAAGGAATCCCGATAGGTACCCGTTTACTAGTAAATTTGTTTCCAGTATCTTCTTTTTAGCCCGTAGTTTATAAGTGGTGTAATTACACCTGGTCCTAGGGAACAAGACTTTGACTGAACAGTGTTTCCACACAATGAAACCACTAATGGAAACCTGAAGACACTGACCAGTCTATGTTAGTATTTGACTAACTGCACACAGTAACTTGTTTTCCACATCTACAAAAGAAATTTTAATTAAATTCACCATCGTGGTCTACAGAAAAACATCATCAAGGTGGCTGAAAACAAATCAAGATTAGTAATATCACTCAAATGTGTGGTTTTTACAACAACGATTCGGCTTAAATACGTCGAAAATTATACTTTCGTATTCACTGGAAACTCTTAATTTAACTTAGAGAGACTTACTTACAGACAGACAGATCATGCTGGTTTGATATTCCGCTTGGCAGTATCCTAGTGGACGTTTAAATCACAACTGAAAGACAAGTTTACACTATTCTCGTGTAATGGGAGTTCACGTTTACTGGTCTCTTCCAACTCACTATGCGGCTTTGTATTTTAGAAATTGACTGAAGCAACCGGCCACCATGTTCTGGACTATATGGTACTTGCTGTGCGTTCCAAATCATGGTTTTTTCACACGTACATAATTCACATTACATGAAGTTCTCTTTAATGACTGATGATGGCATGAGAAATGTTGATACATAGCAGTATGCGTTTTCATTCTGTTCCGCTGAAATTTTCACGAATGATTGAACAGGAAAGTTAAAATCTATTTCCATAAAGCGGATATAGATCGGTAGAAGGGGAACCTGTCAGTGCAACCGGTTTAATGCCATATGAACACATCATCATGCCTTTCACCGGTATTAGCCATGGTTACACCTCGACTCCGTGATTACTTTAGCATATCTTCAACTATCTTGCAGAATTGTTATGTTGTTTTCCATTCCGTATTTTACTGTATCCTTCATTCTGCAATATACCCACATCACGCCAGAGTTATACTGACGAGGAGTTGAACACAGAATTGGTAAAAATTAACACAATATCTGCAAAAGATTCCACTGTATTTCAGGATAGTTTATGTTACCAGAAGAAGTTTCGAACAAATCCAACCCAGGATAACAAAACCGATGATAAACTAAACGTACTGACCGAAAATGAGAATTTATGTAACTCGTGACCCAGATACATATGTGGTGGCAACCTTACGGGTTAATCTGAATAGTTTACTGAATACATAAGTATTAACTGAAAAACCGCATCAGAGTTTGGCGTCGTTCGCAAAATTTCTGTGGAATAAGAGCACAGTCGCAAAAAATCCTTTGGGATTGAAGGATATTTTAAAAGCATGTCAACAGCGCCAACTTCACCAAAGAAAATTTTCCTTAGTGATTAGCATGGTAATGTGACTTTACGTTTCTACGGTTTAATCTCTACTTTATGTCGAAGATTCTACTGTTCATGTTCCAGATTTTCGACTCGGTTCACCTAATTTCACATCTAACGACCAATTGATTAACAGATTCCACGCACTGGGGTTCTCACATGCGGACTTCGACCAGGATGATGGATTTCTATC